TCCCTTTCATCCGTCAGAGGCCTTCGCTGTGCTCCTGCCAGTTCACTCTCCGCGTTGCTTGAAGCGGGTGAGGGAGGGTGAGGGCCAGGAGCTTATCTGTCTGTGCCAGCCGCAATTGGCTCCGGAGCCAAGGTGCCAACGTGTGGAATAACTGTCCCATGGATGATGGAACTTTTCTTCATTCTCTCTGCCGAGCAACGTGAAAGGAACTTCATATTCTGAGAATTTTATCACGATGTTCTGTGCTTCCTCTGTACGGTCAATATAAACACTCTTTATTGACACAGAAAGCAGAGATAGATGGAACTCCTTCTGAAGTCAGCGGAGGTTAATTCAGTCTGAAAACAGAAGAAAAGCCCGTCTGCAGCCGAACTGTCATCAAACCGAGTAGCTTAAGCAGCAGTGAAACCAGAGCTGAACACCAGAGTTCCCGTGTTTAATAAGAATATATTCTTAACTAAGCTCCCATGTTGAAAACATCAAGGAGCGAGGCCTGTGGCGGTTCAGCTTCTGGCAGTATAACCCCCTATAAAGCAGACCTATAAAAACGCTCCTCCTTCCACAAGGAGTCGGAGGAGTTAATCAGAACCAGAGATCTGGGTGGAACCGCTGGCTTTTTTAATGCTGAGACCGCACAGAGCTGGTTGTGGATGCTGGAGCTTAAAGTTTTTCCACCAAATCCAACCAGTTAGGGCTTGACCTTTCCTAGAGCAATTTCATGTTCTTTTCAACATGCACAGCAGATCTCTTGTCGTCGTCGTCGTCGCATATCTGATCAGCGTCACACTCCGAGCCGATTGCTCTTTGGCCTACAGTTTTGGCTCCACGGTTTAAAAATCTATGACTGGATTGCGCAACAGCTCCATTCTTGTCTGTGTTTTGATTCATTCATGCACATGTGCTCATCTGTGAACAGCTTCTGCAACTGTCACATTTTTTCAGTTTAATCTCAAAACTACCACAACGTTTATTTAAGTGTCTTAAAAGTTAGAAAGTTAGAAAGATACACAAGGAAAAATACATACTTAATATAAAATAAAACACGCAATGGAAATAAAAGCTTGTTTTTCATATCTTGCAAATAGGGGTGCAACAATACCCGTATCGAACCGTACAATGCAGTGCTTTAGGTTCAATACACATTTGTATCGAACAATACAGATTTTTAAAATTTATTTTATCAACTTGTCTTCTGAAGATGCTCTGTGTTGAAGGATCAGTGGATCTGTGTTCGACTAATCCACCTAGGTGGCATTGTCGAGCGCAGATCCACTGAGAAACTTGCTGTTTCAGCAACATTTAATTTAAAAAAACTGTACTTTTGAGCTTAAACAAATGTTCATAATTAATTTAAATAATTTTCAAGTTAAAAAGGGCATGGAAATTTCTTTCTTGTATCGAAAAAATATCGAACCGTGACACTCAAGTATTGAACTGAACCGAATCTTGCATTTTCTGTATCGTTGCACCCCTACTTGCAAATTTGGCTATTTTAGTGGGGTTGTGAATGTTTGTCACAGTCGTGTCCAGCCCTGCAGAGTGCTGTGGGAGTGAATGACTGCGTCCCCATTCATCCGGTCGAGGCCAGAGGCCAGCCAGGCTCTTGGAAATGGCCAGGAAGCCTCTGAAGCTCCCCAGGATGTAGCTGTCAGCTGATCCCCTTTTGGGAGGGGAAGACGGAGAGGAAGAGGTGGGGGGACTTGGCAGGTGTGGAAGGGACAGGAGAGCAGGGGCTCTCTCCAGCTGACAGTGACATTGGCCATGTCTGTTAAAGAGATACAACAACCCAAATTACTCCCTCCGCAACTGCATAACCTGTGTGCACACGTCCTGCATTTTTTTCACAAGTTTTCTAAAGAAGCTAGTGTAAAATGCTTCATAAAATGACAGACCTAGCATTCCTCAAAGGAATGTTTGAGTTTTAAACTTTATCATCTCACACTGTGGAGAAACAGTTATAGCCGTTTTGATCCAACCTTGTAAAATCTCACGCTCAGGCAATTTGTTGAGGATGACTCTCGGATACCATGACAAAATAAAGTCAGTATTTGTAAAATTGACGAGTTGTAGCTATTTTGTGTCGGCTAACGTCAATCAGCTCTGCTTCGTCTTCCTTTCCCCAACACACTGAGGTTATTCTGCATGTGGCGGCTAAAAATGATCTCTTATATTAGGATGAGTGGATAGCAAATAACAGCAAGCTTAGAGAGAGAGAGTCACAAAGGCTGAGAGTAAGACAAGTGAGGAAAAAGTTAGCAACATGTTATGTTTGTTTTTATAATTTATTTTAAAAAGCTGATAGTAAGGAGCATTTTCCAGTATTTAGAGCATCAGAAAATGTTTCATGGGGGAGATGTTTTAAAGTCTTTAAGAAACTGTATTGTATGCAGTTTGTTGTTTCACTGCTAATACGGCATCTGGTTGCATTTAAAAAATAAATAAAACGGTCATGTTGGAATAGAAATAATATAAAAGTTGTTTTCTTTTGTCTGATCCCAGAGCAGAAAGACATCAAAACTTCATACTTAAGTACTTTTTCATTTATCATTAATCATCATTGCAGTTGTTATCGCACGTCACAGGTTTTCCTAATATAGTCAGGGGCGGTTCTAGGGGCGGGGCCACAGGGGCATTGGCCCAAGCTGAAATCTGATTGGCCCCCTGAGTGCCCCTGTTCTGTCACTCATCTGTCCTTTGCCTGAGATTGGTGATGGTGTATGCAGTTCCATGTCCAAACTCTAGAAGCGCTAATGAGTCAAATAGGAAAATCCAGCATGAATCAATCTTACAGAATTCTTCTCTTCTTAAGAAAATCTGAACAGTCTTGCAGAAAAAGTCTTTAAACTGACAAATGATGGCTGCATTTTCTCATATGTGGTGTGTTTGAGAGCATTTTATCTATGTACAGTAAAAATACATGTTAAAATTGCTAAGGATAATTTACTGTTCAAGCTTTTTTTTAAATTACATTACATGTGTTTGAACATATGACTGGTAAAATGTATACACCTTACCAAAACCAGGGGTTTAAATGCAAGGATGCTGAACAAATACTTGGCCCCTCTATAAATATTGTGGCTCCTTGATGGCCCCTTACTCAGAAAAACCCTGGATCCACCACTGAATATAGTGCAGCCCTTATTCAGAGTCTTTCCTAAAACAGCTCAGATTCTGACAGGTAGAGATAGAGATGTTTTGGAGTATAATGTGGTATCAGGTGGAAACTGCAACCTGTCTTTGTGATATCAGATAGAAAGCTGAACAGCCTAGAGTATTTTTAACAAAGAGCTGAGTCTATATTAGTCTTTCTCTTTTGTTCTGTAAACCTTTCTATTTTTTGTCTCTCTTCTGTTTTTATAATGTAGCTTAGCGCTGATCTCTTTCTCTCTCACTGCCTGCCCTGCATGAATGGTGTTTGAAAACAGAGAGAACAGGAAAGGCAGAGCAGACAGGGAAGAATAGAGGGATATCCCCTTACAGAGTTGCCTCCTTTTCCCTTCAGGACAGAAGGGGTGAGAACTTCGGAAAGGGTGGGGTGGTGGTGGGGTTGGTAAGTCACACCACCTGCCTGCAGACAAACCTCTGGGCACACAGTCCGAAAGTCATCCTGCAAACAAATATGCAATTATGAATGTATCCGTTGTATGATCTGTGCGCTGCTGACATCCTCTCTTTCTGATTTTATGTGTGTGTGGTCAGAGACATTCAGATTAGCCCTATGTGGCCCAGATTACAACAGGATCAGTGCTACCATATATTACTCCGGCCTGTGAACCATCAGTGCGACAGTGGGCCAGCCACGGCTTTAGGGGCTTAAGACCCCATTTAATTACACTTCCGCGGAGGGGAAAAGTACAGTAATCATTTCACACAAGCTGTTATTCACTCTGTGGTGAGAATCCTGCGCAAAGTCTTCAAGTGTCAAAAGGAAAATGCGTGTTTTGTCAGGAACGAAAGAGCAAAGCCCTCAGGTTCTGTGCCTCATTTGCTTTATTTAAACAACTGTGACATTTACGGGGCTCCATACTTTCAGTCAAATTGTGTTGATCTTGTGGCTGCAGCGGAAAATGCTTCACTAGATGAGAAATGAAATCCTATAAGTCAGGAGAGCATTAAAGCACTCCGACGTGTTGTTCATTCTTATGGAAATGGCTGTTATTTCTTGGCTAAACGTGTAATTGTGATTTAAAACGACCAGCTCTCTGACAGTAAATAACAGTTACCGTATTTATTCAAATATAATACGTAAAATTAAATCCATAAACTCATCCATAAAGTTGGGGGGTAGTACTATACTTGGATAAATATTTTTACTTATGTATTTTAACTGAAAAATCGGCAAAATTATTGAGTCCGGAAATGAGACCGAGTCGTAAAAAGCAGTTGAAACGAGCTCACCTCTGACACTCCTCTGTGCTTCAGAGTGAGATAATAACAGATCCAGGCAGGAGACATGATGTGGGAAAAAGGGGGAAACAGCAGTCCTGCACCTTAGTAATGATAACAAACTAATGACATTAGCGTGTGACCGAGCCGCTCCTCGAACAACAACAAACACGTTCGTCTGTAATGGCTGCCGTCTACCGGTGTTCTGAAAAAGTTTGTATCCCTGAAAAAAATGTTTCCCCACCAGAGGGGGCACTCACGTGTAGGAAGTAATCTGCTTTCCCCACAGAAGATGGCCCAAATCTCATGTGAAGTCTCTGACTTTTGTGTTTGCGCCTCCTGGTGGACTATGTGTAAAATGCCAGAATTCATATGATGCTGCTACAGCTGATATATATTTGTTGTCAAAATATATTTTAGTACATATGTTGTTAAAATAAAATGAACAGTCCAATGATCATTTTACTGATATGTACAGTATAAAGACGGTATGAAATTGGAGATAGTTTGAGGATTAATTTTTTATGCTTTTTAAGCTCAAAAAAGGGGGGGTTGTATTATACATGAGATCGTATTATACACGAATAAATACGGTTTTATTTTGTCCTCCCAAGGTGCCGCCAGGGACATTGGCTCAGCTCTGACAAGAATGTGCATGAGACACCGCAGCATCGAATCAAAACTACGCCACTTCACCAAGTAAGAGCTCTTTTTTATCGCCAACAGCTGGAAGTGTGTTTGTGTGTCTGTCTCTTAGTAAAATATCTCATGAACTTTTCTAAAAGCTTTAACATTAGCTGCTGGAGTCATGATCCACTGGACAGACTTTGATAAAACCTTCAGGATGTACATTTACAACAGATATTGAGCCAAACATCTGATGTGGTAGCTGTGAGTCGTCCTCGGTACACACATTGAATACATCATGACCTCGCACATAATGTTGTTTTTCAGTGTTTAAGGCCACAACTGAAGATAAGTTAATCTTAGTTGATTGGATGCTGGCTCCATGTAAGGCTGGATGGACAGGACGTTCCTTGTTGACATATTTTAATTGAAAATAAAAAGTTTCTGCACTTCTATGTTGTTTATTTGATTGTTTATCATTTAACTTTATTCATTTTATAAAAAAAAAACAAAATTTTATATACAATAGAAATAAAAGAAAATACAATGAAATGAAAGGAAGCAGAGAGAAGAAAAAAAATCTTAAATCTYCCCCTTTTTCCCTCAAATATAAATTCAAACAATGGTAATCTTTAGTTAACAAGACAAAACAAGAACATCAAATCTTTCTAGAACGACAAATTATATGAATGCACATTATACTGTTTCATATTTTTTCAAAAATCCAACCTCTATCTATATAATCAGTAACCGATCGCTCTGGAAGCTGGGGGGCYGGGCCTCTTTTTTGGATTAAAAGAAACAGCCTCAAAACAAGTTGATCTGAGACACGCCTCAGAACAGGGCTGAAAGAGGGGCTTGTGGAGTTACAATAAGGAGTAATTAAGACCAAAGCATTGCAGTTCCACTTTATATAAACCTCGACTGAATGATTGAAATGTTAAAATTATGTAATTAAAAACCTGATTTGTCCCCTTCAAACTTCTTGCAATAAAGGTTTTGGGAGTTTTTCTTTTTTATTCATGTTGATCACCTTTTTTAAAATGTGTTTCAACGCCCCAGCCCATAAATGTTGACCTTCCTTTAAGGGTGCCACCTTTTGCTTTGAATATTGTGCGTAAAGCCTATTTTTATACCCCCGCCTTCCATTCTTCTTAATTTGTCTGGACTTGTTGCCTTTAGTGCTCTCATGGAGGGGCTGGTTACACCTCTCCAAGACAGGATAGAGGAATGGAAGAAGACAGCCAACCAGCTGGACAAAGATCATGCCAAAGGTGAGCTACCATAAAAAAAAAAAAATACAATTATATCAATTATTACACAGTGTGAGCTGGAAAATGTTATATTTTGCTTGCGCTCTGCAGAATACAAGAGGTCTCGTCAGGAAATCAAAAGGAAGTCACTTGATACGCTCAAACTCCAGAAGAAAGCAAGAAAAGGTAAGGAAATGTTTTAAAGCATGCTCAGTCATTGGAGCTGCATTACATCTCAGAGATTTGCTATGACAATGGTGAAGTCTGCTGGGCAACAAATCTGAGCTGCACCTGTGTCTCATAGTGAACTAGCACCATCTAGAGTGGAGAAAGAAAATTCCCAGCTCACTTTAAAGCTGTATAACAGTTTCAGAGGCTCCTCTCCAGCTTTGAACACCTCACTCCATGAATCACAAAGAATGGTTTCTCTTGCTGTGCTTTATTAGCCCCTTCTGCTGGTTGTAATTAACCTTCTGTTTTCATGCAGCACCTTCACACACCAGCGGTACGGGCTAGTCTTAAACTTGCAAAGTGGCTATGTTTGATACACTTAACGCTGCCTGTTCTTCTGTCTCTCTGTCCCTGCCTGCTGCTGCACCTCTCCTCTGATCCTTTCTGCCTTTTCTTTTTACCCCCGGCTGTAGAGCTTCTAGGTACGTCTGCTGTTTCCAAATGCAAACGTCAGGCATCAGAAYCATCATTAAATCAAGCTGCCAGTCAGATGAAACACTGTTGTCTTAGCATTTTTAGCTTAAGGTTGAAATAGTTTGACAACACCTAAAGGAGTTCCTTATGTAAAATCTGCAAGAGCAGATTGACTCTCCTGTCAGTGCGGTAGTTAAATTACTGGCTGCCAGARGCCAATCAACTGAGCTAAGCACAAAGACTACTACTCCCTACATCTGCTATGGCAGGCACTTTTCTATAGATAAAAACAAAAACAAAACACTTTCTAACTTATTAACTTAGTTTAATATTTGCAGAAAGCAAATGTGTAGAATTATAGACTAACTCCCTGGCAGTTTTCTGCTACACACTGAAAGCCGGGGGTGGCCTCATATACGATGGGAACAAAAGAAAATAGTTTCCCAAAGTTTAACTAATGGCAACACTATGAATAAATATATTTTATAAACTGTTTCTAAAGCTGAACTTTGACTAAATTAAAAGCAAAGCATTACCATAAATACATGCATGTAACTAATTGTAATTTTCAGAAAATAAAAGAAAAGAGATTTTGAATAAAATACACATAATGATTGGAAATAACCAGCGTATGTAAATCCCTGATGCCCCAAAGAGTTCTGCTTTTGACCCACAAAATAAAAAACTTGGTATTGCACAACCTCAAGCYCAATCTTCACCACAATGTTACATAACTACCGCCGTAAAGTGAGCTTTGTGAACTTACCATGACCTGCTGTGACAAAAGTGACATGAAACCACTTACATGTTTCACATTTAATCTCCTCTATTAACATTTAGTTACTTAAAAAGTATCTAGTAGGGCTGTGTATTGGCAAGCATTTGGTGATATGATACATATAGCGACACAGGCACTACGTGATATATCGCGGTATATTGTGATACTGTAACCTAAGTGATATATTGCCATTTCTCTAAAGAGAGTCTAATTAAAAACAAAATGTCAGTATTAAAAAGCACACCAGATTTATGCAACAACAGTGAGAACTGCATTGTAGTTCACATTTCTTCTTACAACATCCATCTATCTGCTAACCAGCAGTCAGAGGCTAAACTATAAACAATATTTCAGTGTATCAATGTCTTGCACCCCTGCTATATAACAGGCCTATTTTCATCCTTACTTTGAAAAAAGTGGAACAATTTAAACCCAAGTATCAGTCATTCCCATGGTTAAAGTGGCTTGTAATAAAACCTGACTCAATAATAACGACTAAAACTTATTTTTCCAGCACTCATATACACTTGACACATTCTCATTCCATTTTTCTTGTAATTAGAGCCTTATTATATATAAGTGTGTCAAAACATGTTTATTGGATACTAACAAGGTGTCAACATGTAAATAAGAATAATAAATAAATATTCTTCTGTATTCTAGTTTTATAGAGATAATTACAATGCCAACAAACCAAGGCTCCGTTTTGAAAATGCTTAACCCACTGCAGCCTATAATTACAGTATATATTTAGTTTTTGCTGTGAATTCCAAGTTGCATAAAAGTCAACTAAAAATGCTAAGATCCATGTGACTTGCAGTCATTTATCATCTTCACCTCATCTTTTATGTTTTCATTGTCTAATGGAACTGTGGCGTGAACCTTTGGAATAACCCTGGACATTCTGTACAGTAGTGTTTTTCTGATCCCGTCCGTTTCAGCATCTGCACGCCCTAGCTGCTTGACATGACTCAGCATTCTCATGTGCATGAACCATTTAAGGTTGTCAGTGCATCGACCTCCAGTGCACAACAGCATATCATCGTTTGTTCTAATCATCTCATTTTTTTTCACTCTCCTCCCTCTTCTGGATATTTCATGCTACTTGTGTGATTATCACCCAACTCCCCCTCGTTTTTCAATCTGTTTTCATTCCTCTTCCCTTCTGTTTATTCGACTCCCTTCGCTGCCGCTCATTCCTCGGCTCCTCCTCGTTTGCACTTTGACCACGCAGGGCGGGGGAACCTGCGCCCCCAGCTGGACAGCGCCATGCAGGATGTCAGCGACTTGTACCTGCTGATGGAGGAGACGGAGAAGCAGGCGGTGCGACGAGCGCTTCTGGAGGACAGAGGCCGTTACTGTTCATTCATCGGCTTACTTCAGCCAGTGGTGGTGAGCGACACACTTCTCTGTGTCTAACTTTGTAAAAATGATATTTCGGTCTGTTTTCGATCTTTAGTTTGATCCATCCTGCTTTCTGTCCAGAATGTAGAAATTGCCATGCTCGGAGAAATAACGCATTTACAGGCCATTGTTGATGACCTCACCGGGTTGACTGAAGACCCGCACAAGCTGCCGCCTGCCAGTGAGCAGGTAACACTAAGGCTGTGTCCAAATTCATGGGCTGGATCCTTCGAAGGACACAGCCTACTCAGTCTAGCAGCTGACAGATTTGGCCTTCAGAGGATGCAGCTCCTGAATTTGGACACAGCCTACTATTACTCTTATTTTCTTATAAAGCTGCTGATGTTCTTTACAAATGGTTAACTCATTCTGATCACTGTCAAATTTGCCTCAAACCCACTTAACAAAAAATTTACACAACTTACTTAAGTTGGCATTTCGATAAATGCACTGCCCGACTCCGGCAGTTCGTCGCTCAGGTTTTTGTGATCTTCTGTTACTTTTTTAATTACTTAGCCCCCCGTATCATTTCAAAATCTATTTTAATGTTTTATCAAACTTTCTTATTTTGTTTTATTCTTTATTTAAAAAAAAACTACAGGGCTTTTTGGTTGTTTTTATGGTGTTATGGAATTAAATGCAGCACTTGCTTCCTAATTTTTAACCTTCGATGACCTCCAAATCCCTAATGGGTGGTCRGATTTTAAAAAACGTAAACAGTTTTGGAATCGGTACATTGAGCCTTACAAGGACAAAAGGAAAACAGCTTATCAAAGTCCCTAACTTTAGTGACATATTGTTGTTCAGGAGCGTTTACTTTCCATCCAGCTGCTGAAAATAAATCGTAAATTTAAAAAAAAATGTTTCSTTTTATGGATGTGAAATAACCTAAGCATCAAACTGCACGTGGAGGCGCTCTCAAAATGATGTATGTAAGTAAATCTTTGTTTAAAAAGCATCTGGAAAAAGCAAAATTACATATTGCTTTGCATCAAAATAAAACACAATATAATTGGAGGAAGATCACCAAGTTCAAGAACAGATCCCTGAGGCACCCCACAGGTCACCAGTCACAACATAAAACTTTTAAAGGCTAACCCATTTCTGAGGCTGATCGATAAGATTAAACATCATTTTTTTTTGTCAAAGGCAGTGGAAAGTCTAAACATGAATGAATAAAAAAAGTCATCGTGAAAAAGTTGAGTTCTTTCCACTGTGTTCTGACCAGTCGTGATGTGTTTCTGCAGGTAATCCGGGACCTTAAAGGCTCCGACTACAGCTGGTCCTATCAGACCCCTCCTTCCTCCCCCAGCAGCACAAACTCCAGGAAGAGCAGCATGTGCAGGTACACTCACAGATCTTCTTATTTGTTCCCTGCATTTTTAAAATCCCCTCCAAAAATAGAGATTAAAAAKCTCTGCTTCAACTAACAACTTCCAGTGTGGTATTTATGTTATTTATGGTAACGTTGTATGTTCCGGTAATGATGTTGATGGTGTAGCGGTTTAAAAAAAAATACACACAATCTTATTAGCAATCCACCTAAAAAAATTCATAGCAGCGAAGAGATGAAACTTTTAAAGTCGTGTATTAATATAACTGACGTGGCGTCCTCGTGAAGCGCCTGACTCCCTGTGACAGTCAACATGAGGTACCTGTGGTACACTGCGAGCTCCTCGCCTCTTGCTCCTGGCAGATTTGTCACTCTCAAGCTTCTTACAGCCAGATTACGTCGGAAGCTGTCAAACATGACAGGCTGAAAGCCACGAGCCTACACAAGAACCAAACCTCTCAAACTCTTAAGGTGAGCGACGATAGTTTGACGGTTTATTTATAAACGTGCGATTCTAGGTCGAGAAAAAAAGTTTGTCTTCAAATAGAAATTCTTGTAATGTTGAGCTGAAAGGAAATTACCTTTCTTAAATGTTACTGTTGAAACATGTCTGATATGTATGGCAATAAACCCACCATAAATTCTAATAATCTATTTTTATTTACATTTTAACCACTGACTTATTCTGAATTGACATTTACCTCATTACGTTCAGATTATTCTATAAACATGTTGTTTTTAACAGTGTTTAAATTTATTCGCTGTGTAACATTTTGAAGAGACAAATGCTTATACGTATTACAGTTTAAAGTGCCTGTGGCGTGTGTATCCTTCAAATACAGAAAGTCAAAGAAAACAACTTTATATTTAAGTAATTTTGCATAATACACATGGTTTTACTCATTTTGTCACATAAATGGCATATTTTCTTTTGAACTTGGCTCATCTAAAGTGAAACAGGAAGTGACATCAAAGGGGAACTCCTTAAGAAAGACAACTCTGGTTTTTATTGAAACAATATTTAAACGTCAACTGTTCTTCATCTCTCTGATAGACTCAAAATAATTTAAAGACACATCAAATTCTTCTCTACAGTCTGTGCTAGCTCTTGTGGCAAKGCTCTGTTTACATGCAGACATTCCCCTTTGATGTCACTTCCTGRTTCTTCACATGCAAATATCTTAACAACTGTTCATCCCAGCAGTGTGAAATTAGTTTTGCAATATGTTATTAATGTTATCTTTCCAAAAAATGTGTTCATGTTTATTACAAAAAATTGATGTCARGGGCACTTTAAGGTACACCACATTTAGCCACCTAAATGCTGTTGCTCTGGTTGCCCCGTTTGCAGGAAAAACCCATCCTCCATCATCAGACTTGTTCTGAATGTTAAGAGCTTCCTGCTGCCCCCGCTGGCTTTCTCTGCCCCCAAACATCCTATAAGAGCTGCGAGAGGAGATGCTATCATCCAGCTGTCTCGCCGTCCCAGTTTAGCGCTTGTCATGGTCTGCAAAACCCTTACGTTTGCTCTTTTTTTTCCCCTCGCTTCCTTCACATCCACTTTAATGACCACATGTTAACTCGCTGCCCAGAATATCTCCCCCACTGCAGGGTGTCTTTATAATAAAATAATTCTTGTTCTCACTTAAAGGTACAAAAAATGTATTGTTACATTATGTATGCAGATAAATGTGTACCCACATGCTTATCAGTATATTTGTAAAACTACTGGAGTAAACTTTTTCAAACTGCATCGTTTAATATAGTTCAGAATAACCTTGATATCTTACTTTGCAATGAGTACCTTTTAATCAGTCAGTTTAAACATTGTGGCTACAGAATCACTACAGAATAAAAAAAAAARGGGCTTATTTATCAAAGAAAAGAAAAAAGAACAGATGCTCTCTTGCTTTAAATAAATAATGACTATTCAATTTGCTATGTTTAATTTGGCGTTCATCCTTAAGCCTCGTCCTAGAGGATGAAGATTAATGAGAAATGATAACTGCACATTTGTTCCAGAGGGAGACGGGAAGGAGTAGATGTGGGGGAGGCGAGCAGGAGGGGAGGTGAGAAGCACAAGTTGCGCATTTCAAAATGTGTGGGTGACAAAGGGAAGCAACTCGGAGCGAGAATAACAAAGCAGGAGACAAAAAGCACAAAGGCAGCTGTTAATCTTTAGAGGGGAGGAGAAAAAAATCAAATAAGGGATAATGTTTTAAAGCGCTTTGATGCACCGAAATTAGAAGAATGCCATCATTTAGACAGCTTTTATGTTTGCTGCTTTTGTGATCAGTTTGTCATTTAGCCTGTCCTGTTTCTTTTTTTTACCATGGCTTACTCACAAATCCTCCTTTTTCAAAAAGAAAAAACAAAAAAAAAACAAAAAAAATCTTTTTTTTACCATGGCTTACTCACAAATCCTCCTTTTTCAAAAAGAAAAAACAAAAACAAAAAAAACCATTTTCTGAACAAAATAAGGGGGTAAAAATGTGACAGCATTGATAATAATACAGTTGAAAATGCACGCTCATTTGATAGCGATGTTGTGCCAACAGCTTGCTTCAGATGCCCTCAGCAGGAGCTCATCGGCTCAGCAGCGTGTCCTCCCACGACTCAGGCTTTGTGTCCCAGGATGCCAACACCCATTCCAAGCCTCCGTCACCCATGCCCTCTGATATCACCAGCCAGGTAGCAGCTTTGGTTATGACACTATACATCACCCTTTTTTTATTTAAAAAAAGATGAGTATTTCTCAACTCCAGTAAAACCAGAAGCAAAGTTATCTCCAGAGATTCCTCAGACAGTAATGCTGCAGGGCACAAGGCCACAGTATCTCACTCTTCTTACCAACCGGTTGTATCCAATCTGTTTTTTTATGTTTGCATTTCAGACYCAAATCTCTAGTGTCAGTAAGAGCTTTTGATAATCAAAGCGAGCTGTTGGGTTTCGTTGTAATAGAGCTTTGTCATTTGCAAATATGAATATCTTATCCCAGTGGACTGATAGTTTTTCAGACTGAACAGATTGCAGCGTAGTGAACATCGTCAGCACCAGAACTTCAACTGATGCAATGCTCCTAGATCTTTCAGGCTGCTTTAATTTTCAATCCAGGGCTACAGTCTATAGATCCCATAAGAGAAAGGTGGGGGAAAAAAATCCTTCTATCTAAAGCTTATCGGCACTTTTTTTCAACCCTCCCTCTCCCCCTCTCCCACCTACATCCTTCTCCTTATTTCCACTGCAACTCCACTCTTCTTCTACTTCATCTTCCCCCCTTTTCCCAGAAATCCACAAGCTCAGCCTCCTCTGAGGCATCAGAAACCTGCCAGTCTGTCAGCGAGTGCAACTCTCCTACAGCGGTTAGTACTGCATGCATCTCTTACCGGCCTACTTGCCTTGCTGAACACACACTCTTGCAGACACATACTCACGCACGTTGTTGTGCAGTGCATTTCCCCCTCATTGTTATCTACGGCTTAAAAAATAATTAAAAAAAAAGCCCATTGGCTCCTCATGACAGCCGCAGTGCAGTTTGACGTGGACTACTTATGGATGTGGAGCACTCTGACTCAGACTTGTCTGTCCATTCCGCAGTATGGCTCATGCTCATCCTTCGGTACCTTCCGCCCTGCTTTTTCTCACACTGGCACCATCAGGCCTCTCTCTGTCATAGCCCCTGCGTCCCCCACATTTACCCACTCACCTGGATCCAACAATCCTTCACCTACATCAAAGGTTCCTAGCTGGAAGGTTTGTTTTTGTTTGCAAGCTTTATTTATTTTAATTTCCTTTTTTTTTTGTTGTTGCTTCTTTGCTTTTTATTTGATTGCAGCTAACTTCACAATCACTATATTTAGCTGATGCCCATCAAACACAGCTTTCCAATCTTTTTTTTCCTTTAAAAATATGCAATAACCTGAACATTAGCGCCTGTCATTAACGCACATATCTGCCCACGCGTCTAACCGGCTCTCGAGCCAAACTGGGTGTACTGGATGGAAAACACAGGAGATACAAAGTTGGAAGACCATCTCATTATTCCATCTGCCTCTGCAGGACTGGGCCAAATCAAGTCCCTGCGAGGCTCCGTTGAGTGGCACTCTGCAGCGCAGGAGGGAGTCCGTGGAAAAGATGAGAGAGATGGAGGCTCCGCCCAGTCCACAGGGATACCCTGGGATGCAACCAGGTGATCCGTACAGAGCGAGGAGTGGCCCGGGAATTATTACAGCCAAGGTAAGAAGTCCCTGAGGGGTGAAAAATGCAAATGTCGGTAAATGAATTCACGGGCCACGGGAATTCTAGTGAGGAGAATTGTTATGTAAATGTGTGCTAATCTGGATGCTTTTCCTACATGTGTCTAATTTTGTGTTTCAGCACGGAGAGCCCCTGTCTCCAGCGGCCACTACTTTAGCTATGGTTCTGACCAGAGGCTTGAGCATGGAGCAACAGAAGAGCAGCAGGGACTCGCTGCAGTACTCCAGTGGCTACAGCACCCAGACCAACACCCCTTCCTGCTCCGAGGACACCATCCCATCCCAAGGTACCCCTCTTCCTGAAAAGCCAAACACTTCTGCAGTGGGATCACATGACATGAACACAATTACAAACTTTCTAAACTAATGTGATGCCTGTGAAATATTTTCTCTGAGTGAAATTGGGATTTCTGTGATTTCTAATGAATTGCAGTTTAACTCGTCAAAATAAAAAGTTGCTTTGTAACTTTTGGAAAAACATAAAGAAATGCATGACTCACTGCCTCTTCCAGGTTCGGATTATGAGTGCTACTCTCTCAACGGGGATGCTGACAGCGAGGGCCAGGCAGACTTTGACAAGTCGTCTACCATCCCACGCCACAGCAACATTGCTCAGAGTTACCGCCGCATGATCCAGACCAAAAGACCTGCCAGCACGGCGGGCCTGCCTGCGGGAAAGAGCCTGCAGGGGACGCCGAACGGCGCTGGGGGAGGCGGCTCCCGAACCGTCTCCTCTGGGACGGCCACCATTCGACGGACGCCGTCCTCCAAAACCGGTGTGAGACGCACGCCGTCCACGTCTGGCCCCATTCCCATTCGACCACCCATCGTGCCGGTTAAAACCCCCARGGTTCCAGACTCTCCAGGATGTGCCAGTCCGTCTCCACGTCGTAAAGGCAGTGAAGAGTTTCTGCATGGTGATGACCCATCTGCTGGTGACTACATGAGGGCTTCTCCAAAGAGGATGAGCCTCCCTGACACAGCCTGGGGCTGTGGAGGGGGAGGAGGGGTGGACAGGACTGTTTACGCTCAGCAGGCCCCCGGCGTGGCTGCTGCCCACAGTGTCGAGGAGGACCCTCAGCTTGCTGCCAACCGTCACAGCCTGGTGGAGAAGATAGGAGAGCTGGCGGCCAGCGCACACGCCCTCGGTGAGGGTCACTTCCCTTTCCCCAGCTTCATATCGGGGGACGCGGCTCAGAGCGCGCCCCAGGACCTGTCCCCAACAGACATGGGGGACGTGGATATGCTGGTGACCATTCGCCGCGGGGTAAGGCTGCGCAAGACAGTAACCGATGACAGGTCAGCTCCCAGGATCCTTCGGTAATCGAAAGTGAGGCGAAGCTCCGAGGAAGCCGCTGCGGTGCCCTTATTTACAAACTGAAGCTTAGTAATCAAATACAAGAGCACTCGTGTAACACAGAGGACGGAACAGGATGAATAAAGGCCAGTTGAGGAAGAAGTGACTATAAACCCTGATGAGTCATGTCCTTGTTTGTATTGCGTACAAAAGTAATCTGTATTTTTGTTTTCTTTTATTTCATTTTGTTTTGTTTTGTGGGCTTTGTTGCTGTTCTTTTCTGCTCCCTGTGTGGCCAGTGGTTTCAGCCCAGTTTGTCTCTGTGGACCCTGTGATGCGTCACTCATCGGGGGGGTGGAGGGGGTGGGGGGGTCAATTGTTCTGTGTCATGATTATTAATTTCCTGTGCATTTTTCAGCTGAATAAAGCCACCTGTCAGTGACCGGCGCAGAGCTTTGTAAAACTRGTTGTTTTTTTTTTCTTCTTTTTGTTACTGCCCAAGTACCGTATTACTGTTTCATTTCATAAGCATCAGCTGTAATTTCATGTAAAGATAGAAGCAATATGTTTTTATTGCTGTCCTGTACTGTCAATATACCTTGCAATTAAACAGGCTTTTTACTGTAAAATAGCTTGATTATTTTTGTCAAAAAGAAAAACCCCAATGTTGCACATTAAAAAAAACAAGATCATCCTTTTGGTTTTGACGGCCTCTGTGTATTTGTTTGTGAGTGCTGAAATGTAGAGCAGTGGTTATTACTCTGAGCAGCAACATGAATTAATTGCTGTATATTTAAATGTAAAATATGCTCCAGCTAAATCCCTTGCCATTTGAAGTTCTTRTTWTTWWTTWWRTWWTTTTTTAACTCAGGCTTTGGAGACGTGCAGTTTAATTAGAATTTAGTTCCTTAGTAGCCCCTTTTTTTTACTGTTAATTTTAATGTTGGAGTTAATTTTCTGGTACTTTATTATTTACCCAGTACAGTGATGATGATTTCCCTGCTGTTTTAAACTTTAAACTGCATGCCCCTGTTTTACTTCTCAAGGCTGTAGGAATGTTTTTCTACAGCTGCAGTACTTTAAATAACCTAGAGGGGGCGCTGTAGGCTTTTCTGCAAGGTTGAGTTGAACCAGGGTAAGTTGTGCTTTTTCTTTGTTGTTATTGTTGAAATTACTTATTTTCAGCAGTTTGATAAACAAACTAATGAGACGAAATACTTTGTACTGTATCTGTTTAACCCAACAACAACAAGAAAAAAAGAGCAAAACTAATGTAGAGTTTACTAGAACACAGACAGATAAACATGCTAACCAAATGACCTAAAACAGAGAAAAAATAAAAACAGCCAGAAGATTCTGCTGGAGGTTTTATTTCCAGTTGTAAATGTAGGGCAACACTCAGGAGGGTCTCACTGAAACTGTAATTCATGTTAGCCACTGTTTATTAGCATACAAATTGTCAAACTCTATGAAAAAATATATGCAGCAGTACGTACTTCCGGGATGCTGCTAAACCAGAGCAGCCACCTGAAACTTAAAAATAAGTTCCTAATGAATTTGATAAGAAATGCACATCATTGCCTTTTTTTTAAGAGATATTGCAGATCTGTTCATAGATAATTGACGAAGCAGGGGAAACAGTGCTTATGTGTAATCAGCTGATCAAGTTTTTCCTGAAAAAAAAAAATCATATAAAATTAGAACCCACTAAAAACTGGTTAATTAAAATTTTAAAGAAGTGGGCCAATGTTAGACTTTTTAGTTACTTTTATGTACTGTGACAGCTTTGACAAGCTAGAGATATAGATGTTTTGTGAAATTTCATCATAAACACTGAACAGCTACAAAATCAAAATACGAGCAAAAATAGACACTTTCTTATCAACGGTATCAAAACACGAGCTAAAAGCTAAAAAAAAGAAAAGAAAAACAGTTCAACGACAACATGCAGGCACAGTGCAAACCAGAGCTGTCTATCAAAGTACATTTACTTTGTTACATTACTCAAGTATTTTTTTTGCTGATCTGTATTTTTAAGAATTGTAACTTTAACCTTTATTTTGTTTCATTTAAAACACAAAAAGGAGACTTTTTTGTTTACCTTAAAATTTAACACCTCGTTACGCACTACAAATTGTATGGTGTGTGTAAAAGTACTTTAATGTTTATTTTCCCGATTATTGTGAGCAGTTTTATGACTTTTACTTATGCATTTTTTTTTTATCAGTGAAATATTTGTTTGTCAAAGTTAAAGGTGTTTAAGCTTTTACTTACTTATTTTTTCAAGTACTACCTCRGGTGCAAACTAAAAGTAGAAGAAGATCCCTTTTGCCTGCAACTAAAGCTGTTTTGGACATCTATGCTGCTTGATTATACATTTAAACTTGTACTGTCACCTTTAAAAGCATGAAGGAAAAACAATGTATTAAAGGAAGTGGGAAAGTACTGCAGTGAGAGGATATTTATCCTGATGTGGCAAATTCCACCGAAGCACAAAGTGAAAGYCATGGCGTCTGAATGAAGAAGAAACAGGAAGTCTATTAGTTTAGATAATGAGAACCATAGTTGTAATTTTATTGTGGTTCGATTTGGAAGTCATTTAGAAGACGCTGCAGGACCTGCAAGTGAGCAGAAATCATCTCTGTTCTGCTCAGGGTGCCTGCTCTATTTTTCACCCCCCTCCCCTCATCGAGCCTCTCATAATCATGATGCCCTTATAAATAGCACACGACAGAGTTTACAGCATTAGTTTATAGCCTTGAACTACTTGAGTAATGGAAACCAACCCGATGACTGTTGGAATAATTAACTAAAAAAAAAAGAAACAACAAAAAAAATGCATTAAATCTCTTTTTCCAGTTAGTGAGGGGGGAAATTTAGTTGTGCTAATTTCCATTTTTGCTCTTTATATTAGTAAGAACTATCCCCAGTGTCCTTTAATGATGGAAGGAATCTTTTAAAGTTGGATTAAGGTTTGTGAGGAAATATATATTTTTTAACTCTTGTAACATTTCTTCATGTGCTAATCACATTCAAACTCAGTCTCCACTAATTGCCGTGTGGATTGAATAAAAGCACTCCTCAGACAGGACGTGGCCCCCGAAGTGTGCTGTAGTTTCTGTCAAAACACTGGGCCATGCATTAATCATGATCTTTTATTTAATTGTATTTTTTTTTTGTGGGGGGGTGTTTCACTTTTCCTTCAAATTGGCTGCTGTTCTACTTTATTAAACGTATTGAATCATTCTGTGCAGAAACAGCAGCTTTTAAGATAAAAGGTGAACAASACACTCAAGCTATGAGATATTTTCCCCCTCTTTCACATATTTAGTAGCTATTTAAAAACTCTTCTGCATATCATGAGTGAATAAAAATTCTCAGCTTAGTTGCTCCATTTAATACATCTATTAATAAACAGCTATGGTTTCCACGGCTTATGTGAGCTGCCTTAAGGGGTTCACAGATCAAATCTAATTAGCTGCTGTACCTAATACATGAGGGAGGTGTCTTTATATTTATCCAGCCCCTTTAACTGCTTTTTGCCTCCAGGTTTTGACGAGGTAAAATGTCCTGAGGGGCCCGTATATACAGGAGAACTACAAAAAAAGAAAGAAAAAAAAAAACAGAGTTGCTGCTTCTGCCGGATGCTGTGGTGTTTTCAGAAAAAAAGCTCTTCCTCAACAGACACACAGGACTGAGTTTGGATGTTCTGCCAGCATGCTTAGCCTTTCATTTTAATCATACCTTCATTGTTTAATAAACCTGCCTGTCTCTGCCAATTATTTCATTGACTTCATCTGGARCCCCCTCCCCCCCACCACCACCACCACGACCACCACCAACACTCTGCACACACTCAACGAACCAACGTTGGTGTCAAGTCCCGTTAAGGCTGCCTTTCATCATCTCCTGATGTTTCAGCTCACGCTTCACGAGGAATAATGGATCTCGTGCGTTTTGCATAACACAAGGGACACCCTGGGTTGTGA